ATTGTCTATTTCTTAAACCTCCGTCATTTCTTCTTTGTTCTACCACCACACGCTTAATATAACAGGAATAATCAGCGTTATACGACGACGCAGGAGTTAGCCAACCTACTGATAATATCCAAATCAGGCATTGAAAATAATTTGCACGAACTTGATTACGTTATTTACACTGAATTCACAATTAGCATGAAGAGATTTTTCACGCTTTAAGCAAGTAGGTGAGTCAGCAGTACGGTGAATTTTGATAAAAAAAACATACTATTTGCAATTGACACGAATAAAATACGGAAGCGCGCTTTTATTTATTTTCTGTGAATTTTTACAGTTTTCTCCGTTTTCGAAGAATGATTTCTTTTAATTCAGTTACGCATCCCAATATAAAAGAGAACGAATCAAAGTATGGCTGAAAAATTACAGATGAATTAAATGAACAATTTTAAAAATCCGACTGTATACTTACTTATAGAATCATTTTCACTTACTGAACAAAAAGAAGAAAATATTAAAATGTCATCGTCACTAGACTAAAAAGAAGAAAGGACAGAAAAGACGATAACCGTGATTTGGGCTTTATTTACTTTAATGATTAAGATAATGATAATGATTATGATAATAATGATTATGATAATGATTATGATAATGATAATGAAAATGATTATGATTATGATAATGATTATGATAATGATTAAAATAATGATTATGATAATGATTTTTATAATGATAATGATTATAATTATGACAATGATTATGATTATGATAATAATGATTATGATAATGATAAATATAATGATTATGATAATGATTATTATAATGATAATGATTATAATTATGATAATGATTATGATTATGATAATAATAATGATTATGATAATGATAATGAAAATGATTATGATAATGATAATGATTATATTAGCCGTTTCCTTATAATGAAACATTCATCATTCATTGGTCATGTAGCTTGTATTACTGACTGTTGAAATTTATAAAAACTGTTTCTTAAGCTAATTTTTCCGGGACATAGGCTTTTTTTAAGTCCATTAGTTGTTATCGCTCTTTCCAACATTGATGACGGTTTCCTTCCTAACCTTTTATATAAAGTAGTATGGATTATCAATCTATTACCTTATATACTTGTGTATAAGCCGACTTCATGTATAATGCGACACCTGAAGTTTTTTTTTGCATGAATTTTAACCCCTCCAGAAAAAAGATTTATCTGTATATAGTGTAACCGGTCAATCAAAATACATGATTTTAACATTTTTTTTTAAACATTCAACCACAAGCCACTAGCACGCAAGGGGTTACAGAGAGTTGGAGCTAGAGCAAAGAGGAGTGATAGAGGAAAGGATGAAGAGAAGGAGAGGGGATAGATCAAGGCATCTGGAGACGTCGATTGACATTTGAATAGTTGAAGATTATAGCTATCAGGGAAACAAGAAATGAGGAGGGAGTTCCACAGGCGAGAAGTGCAAGATGACGCTATTGAAGTAGAAGAGACGACTTCATTTAACAGTTTCAACAGTGAAAGGGTGTGAGCGAGATGCCAGCCTAGTAGAACGCTTAAATTCATGAAGTCTGGGAACCAGCGAAAGCAGCTCATCGGATCAGTTATCGTGAAAGTATTTGTAAAAAAGACAGAGGGAGGCAACGGCACGTCTGTGAGAGAGCGACTGTAGACGAGATGCCAGATCAGGTCCAATTACATTGCATATCCTCGTCAAAAAATTTGTGTATAGTGAGGCCCTCTATTTTTTGCGTAAAAAACTTATCGTCTATATAGAGTATGTCTTTATTTTCTCTTCGAGTTAACATGTTATATCTATTTTAGCTGTAGCTGTTGTCGAAGTTCTCAAGTGATAGGGTTTTTGCTATTTTGGTTCCGTTCTTAGTTTGTGATTCTGTAGCGCCAGTTCATGAAGTTCTAAGTTTTGTCTTCACCATGGCTCATAGGCTCCACTTGCTCAAAGCTGTTTTTAACCATTGACGTTAGAAAACGGTTGTATACAGTTGAAAGTTTAAATATTTCTGAACGGGTGTGGCGCCATGCTTGATATTCACAAGAAAAAAAAATAACGAAACGAATAAATCAATGGAACAGTTTATTCCAACATCAAAATGTAGAATAGGTAATTCTCCACTTCCTTTAATTCTTATAGTCAGTGTAACGAATTGGTTTTCATCTTGAGCCTGGGGTGGGTACTACTGGATCAGAGGAGGACACTGTTTTTGTTTGGTTTGTTTTATTTTACGGCATATCAACCTTAATGGTTATTTGATACCGACTTTTATTGCTAGTAATATTTTTCCAAAAAATGTATCGCTGATAATATTTTTTTCCAAAAATGTATCGCTGGTAATATTTTTTCCTTCAAAAATTAATTGCTGGCAATAATTTTTTCTTCGAAAATTCATTGCTGGTAATATTTTTACAAGAATGTATTGCTGGTATTAAAACCTATTTTTACACTTTCATAGTGTTTTGACCCCGGTTTCAGGATTAACTATTTGCTCATAGCTGAGACCTTAAAAGGTGCTACCACCCTGGTCTAGGGTGAACCTGGGAATACCAACAATTAAGAGATGGTTTCACGCTTCTCAAAACCTCCTGATCAGAGTTCTTACTGTTGGATGTAGTTTATCGTCATACCCAGGACGCAGATGTGGTTTATCGTCATACCCACGACGCGAAGGAGAGCGACTATTTTCGCTTGTTACATCGTTTAGCAATTTAGACATTTCGTCTTTGGGCATTCCATTCTATGTTTCAAGTGGTTCCGGATCCTATGAAGGTTGGTGCCAAACTGAGACAGCGTTTTCTCGCCCATCAGCCAGCCGTACACTTGTAGACTATGGGGTGGCTTCTATTGGGTCTACCACATGAGTCATGTTTACTAGTACGGACATATCTGCGTAGCAAGAAAGGACCAGCGACGGATAGCCAGGTGAATAAAGAAGTGATCGACGTTGCTACTGAAATAATCTCTCGTGGGAAGTGGCATTTATAGGTGTGCAAAGCAGAGGCATGTTGGAAGGTAGTACTTCTTGTAAAACAGTTTCAATGCTGAAGTGATATGCTTCCATCTCAACCTTTTATACTGCTCACATAGAGCTTTTCCTTTTGGATTATAGGGGGTCGTCCGGCTAGTCGCAATGCCTAATTTGGTTAAGTATTCCTTTAACTACCTGAAATGAATGTCCTTGATCGATATGTATGTACAAAGGAATACCAAATAAGGTGATAATCTGGTTTAGACACTTGATAACTGTCAGGATAAAATGCGCATTCAGTTAAGTAAAATGCGATCGAAACTTGTTAATTGATGAGGTTCAATTCTGCTTTATGACAATTCCCGGCCACATGTTGCCTGGATGAAAATGTAGAAACTCATCGTCTGGGGATACGAAACTTGGTGCCACATCCACCAAATTTCCCTAATGTCTCATCCACTAATTATTATTTTTGTAGCATGTTGACAACTTTTAAGTTAAAAGACATTCCGTTGCAAAGAGGATGTAGAAACCGTATTTAAAGATTTTGGGGGTCGAAACCTTTACTGAAACGACATAAATAACCTTGTAACACGATGATCAAGTTTCCTATTTGGACTGATTCAAACACTGTTTAAGTACATTCATTCAGGAATAAAAAGTTGATTGTAAAATCGGATTTATTTTCCTAACAACCTAATAGAAGGGGCCTTTGAGGTCTATACTAAGACGTTCTATAGGCTGAGTAGATTTAATGAGGTGATTTAATGAGGTGGGTATCTGAGTAGATTTAATGAGGTGATTTAATGAGGTGGGTATCTGAGTAGATTTAATGAGGTGATTTAATGAGGTGGGTATCTGAGTAGATTTAATGAGGTGATTTAATGAGGTGGGTATCTGAGTAGATTTAATGAGGTAATTTAATGAGGTGATTTAATGAGGTGGGTATCTGAGTAGATTTAATGAGGTGATTTAATGAGGTGGGTATCTGAGTAGATTTCATGAGGTGATTTAATGAGGTGTGTATATTCGGTGCAATAGAATCTGGGCTTCATTTTTTTTTTATAATATCTTTCTCTTAAAACAATATTTCAGAAAACTAGGTTTCTCAAAGCCAGTAGATGTTATCGCTCTTTCCGGTATTAATGGAGATTTCCTTCTTAACCTTTTATTTGAAGTGGCGTACAATGTCAACATCTTGATTATGTCATTGTTTTCTCTTCGAACATGTGATATACATTTTAAGTGTTGATATTCCCAAAGTTATGTAGTTTCTGTTATTTCGTACAGTTCTTTATGATTGTGTGGGGCCAGTCCACGTGGTTCAATGAAAGAAAGTGACTCATTGCGCCTGTCGGGGCAATGAGTCACTTTCTTGGAGGATAGCATCAGCCATGCTGATGGAACGCAGAGGGGGGGGTCTCTCAGATGATTAATGGACAGCAGTTTAGTTTTGGAGGCGTTAAAATTGACAAGCCACCTTTTGCCCCAATTAACGACGATTTTGATCTTGTTTTGTACATCGGCTGCTATTTTGACTTTGTCTGACTGATCAACTTTACCATCGAATCAGGAGTAATTAGTAGTGTTGTCAGCGTAGGTGCCAAATTGAGAGCTGATGCCATCGTGAAGGTCGTTAATGAGGACTAAAAACAGGTAAGGATAGAGCCCTGGGGGACACCTGCGTTAGGACGAAAAGATGTAGACGAGTGGGTATTCAGGAAGATAGGAAGTTTTTCTAGACGGGGGATGGGGGAGGGGGGCAAACGATCCGGATCGGGTTTAATTGATCCTTGACTAATCTGCTATTCGAGTAACGTAACCATTTCAGCCGACAATAGACGCTTGCCCTCGTTCAAAGTTCAGTTGTATTTTCTTATTATCTTTTTAGGCTAGGGTCGGGCTCCTCCTCTGTTTTATCACAAACCGACGCTTTGTCCACGTAAACAAACATAGCAACCAATCCTTCCGATAGATTATTAATATTCCTTTTGAAGACAACAGGGGTTACGGCTAGATCACGTGGAAACAGCGGTTCTTGTTTGCTCACCGAAGTTAAGTAACGTCGAGCCTGATCAGTACCTAGATCGGTGACCGCTTGAGAATACCAGGTGTTATAAGCTCGGATATTAATGGGTGGGTGACAACTTGGGATGAAAAATCGGAGGGTCGTGTTTGAATCTCAGTTGAGTTTATTACATTCACTAACGCCTAAATGCCTGTAGGTGATCATGAATCGTAAAGGGACATGATCACCCAAGCGTATCACACCCGCCCCTCCCAGCAAGTATTTTGCAAGCGCGGTCATAATGGCCCTATTCCTACACATGAACTGGGGGAAGGGGTACGCCCATCAAACGACCTTCACAGACGAAAAAAGAAGAAAATGATGAATAGTGTAAGAAGAAGGAGGAGGAGGGAAGAAGAAGAAGAAGAAGAAGAAGAAGAAGAAGAAGAAGAAGAAGAAGAAGGGGAGTAGGAGATAAATAGAAGAACAACGCGGCGGAGATAAATAGAAGAAGAAGAGGAAGAAGGAGATAAATAAAAGTAGAAGAGAAGGGGGAGATAAATAAAAGTAGAAGGGGAGGATGAGATAAATAGAAGGAGGAGGAGGGCGAGGAGATAAATAAAAGAAGAAGAAGAAAGGAGGAGGAGGAGGAGATAAATAGAAGAAGAAGAGGAAGAAGGAGATAAATAAAAGTAGAAGACGGGAAGGAGGAGATAAATAGAAAAACAAAGAGGAGGAGGACGAGGAGGAGAAGACGACGAAGATGAAAGAGGATGAGGACGAGGATGAGGAGGAGGCGAAGAAGAAGATGAAGGAGGAGGAGGACGAGGACGAGGAGGAGGGGATAGATAGAAGAAGAAAAGAAAAAGAAGGAGAAAGAGGAGGATGAAGAGGCGATAAGCAAGCGACTCAGTAACTCTTAATGGCATACGACAAAAGTTGTAAGGTCACCTATCAGCGTCGAAGCCTGTATATTTTTTCGCAGTCTTTAATTGGCATCTGTACTGTTCAGGTCCAGTGTGCCGGAAGTAAGAATATTTCGCTACTTCCGGTATCATGTCATCAATTTGAGGGAAAGTGTGGGCGTCTAATTGTGTGCATCTATTTATCGTTTATATTCCGTCACCATCCTACGTTCTCTCTGGAAACACCCAGGACTTACCCCCACCCCAGCCACCGCTAAGGCGTGGTTTGACAATTTCTCCTTGTAAATAAAGTCTTTACTTCAGAAGCAATGAAGGCTTTCAGTGTTCGAAAAGCGCTGGGATTTCACAACGATCAGGAGTTCGGTGGGTAAAAAAGGGAGAGAGATTAGACCTTCATGGCTATAAGACCACATGTGGTCAATTTTTTCTAATGAAATCCATTTTTGGACAGTTTATGAATTACTTGACAAACAGAATCCCAACAGTTATGCAAATATGCAAATATGGGATTGCATATTTGGCAATAAACGTTTTCATGAATTGTTAGTAGTTTTCCGCTGCTGTCTAAAAATAGAACATTCCGAGGAAACCTTTTGTAAACTGAAATTGAATAAAAAGATTAATAAGTGATTACCTTTCATTTATATGGGAAAACTTGTTGAGCGTTCTCAGACCTAAAAATAACTTTGTGGGAGTTTTTCGCCACAGTATTGTAATGATTGTACAGTTTAAGACAGGTTTACAGTATGTCTCGTATGACTTCAAAAACGGTATCAAATGGGAGCAGTCATGTATACTATCGTATTTGAAGCCTTCCACAACAGCTACAACAAACAATGACTTCAAAATTGAGGCAGCCAACCATTGTTTTTATTTTTGCTTGGTGGTTTAAGAACGGTCGAAACGTTGTTCTACATAAATTAATGATAATTACTTCTTTGATTTACGCCCTTTTCGGATAGCGGGGTAAAGCTATATTCGTTTAGGTCTTTCCGGAAACTTCTTCTTTTATGTGCCTTATCTCTTCAGAACGTAGACAATCATAGCCCTCCACATCTTCTTGTTCCTTGTAGCTCTGAATAAGTTTTGTCTTTTTGTTATTTTTCCCAAACCCGGTTCTACATTCCATTTACTGAAGCACATTCTTCTTCTATTTATCATGTCATTTCATGACGTAGGCGATCATGGACCTCCACATCTTCCTGTCTCTTGTAGCTCTGAATAAGTTTTTTTTTTCTTATTTCTCTCAAACCCTGTTCTACCATCCATTTATTCAAGCTCATCAAGTAGGTTACGCACTGCTTTCCTCTGTCCCTCTTGCCCTCAATCTGTCCTGTGAGTGTCAGATTTTCCTAGCCCTCCTTCTTCATTATGTGATCTACAAATTTCAACTGGCTCTTGTTGATGTTAAGTATAAGTTTTCTTTTTGTTTCCATTTTCTCTAAAACCATGCCATTGTTCACATGCTCGGCCCATCGTATCCTCAGGGTCTTTCCGTAAAGCTGGGGATAGCTCTATTGATATTATAAACATTTGGGGTCGATTACAAATTGTTGAGGTGATTTTTTACGTGAAAATATCTTTATATTCAGTTTTCATATTTCAAGAGAACACAGCTTAAAGAATAAAAAAAGAACCTACCCGAAGTAAAAAAGGAAAAAAGCTGTTATTCTTTGATAAAATGTGGCATCGTTTTTTCAACCAATCACGTGCAATTCTTGTAAAACCTTTCTTGGAGTAAATTATTAGATAAGTGTAATTATAGACAATTATGGCACATACTATGAATACATCATAAAATTCAAGATGTGGAATTAGTAAAAACCAAATGCCTCGGTGTATGGATAGATAAGAAAATTGAATATTGAATAGACTGTGTTGGGTGTAGTTTTTCCCAACGCAACAAAAGGCTACTAAACCAAAATATTAATCAAAAGACGTTGCGACGTCTAATCAGTCTATTTCTTACTAATCACAATGAGTATCGAAATTCTCTGACAAGACCCCCAATAACTATCCAATTGAAGCTTAGATTCTATTCTACCGAATATAACACCCCGCATTAAATCTACTCAACCTATAGAAGTCAAGTAACACTACATTATTCAATAAACATTAAATTTATTGTCATTTAAAGACAGAGAACATTTCTCATTTTTAGGGCAATATATATATATATATTACTATTATTATAAAGCAAAGGAACTCTTAAAAGACCATGGTGATATTTATTTCGCTAAGATCTACAGACCTCAACTCCTCAGACCGACTTCACACAAGGAGTCGGTCTGAAGAGTTGAGATCTTTAGATTTTAGCGCAATAAATATCACCATGGTCTTTTAAGAGTTCCTTTGCTTTATAATAATAATTATTATTGCTCTGTTTTTGGACATTGAGCTCTCCCTGGATCTATATCCTTTTGGAATTATCTTACGATTACCAAATATTATCATTATATATATATATATATACATATATATATATATATATATATTGAGCACTCTTTAAGAATAGTCTTTTTTGGTTATTGAAATTTATTCCGTATACACCAATCCTATACTTGGGTATATATATATATATATATATATATATATATATATATATATGTTTAGATTTGGGTTTTAGTTGCTTCTAAAGTTTTCTCATTCTCTTTCCCTCCCTGTAGTCCGCCCCTACCCCTGCGTCTTAGTGGCATTATCACATCGCTTGGGATGAAATGATTAAAAGTAAAGTTGAATGAGAATCTAGAGGAATGGTAAATATGTAATTAAGTTGAAATAAGTTAAAGTGTAATTTCTATAACAAAAGTCAAAATCAAGCTACTTTGGCCGTCGACAGGAGTCTATTAGTATCTGTCTATATTTCTTAGATGAAGTATTATGTACATTATGTACATTATTCGGACTATTGTCCTCATCCTTTTCACCATATTTATTACAACGTTTCGACCGTTGTACGCTCCGGCCTTCTTCAGGTAATTGGAATGTCGAACTGAACCCTTTATTTCGCTCACCGGATCTGAAAAATCTGTTCTAGTTCCACGCGCCATGTTTTTAATGGATGTCAGTTATCAGTTATCTCCTGTTAATTTCCCTCTGAAAGTTCTCCACTGCCTTAACCGGGTATTGAACTTAAACTCTTTGGGTCCTGTCACTGGATCTAACCAACGCCGTTACCCACTGTGCCATGTGTCCTTGAGGAGTCTATTAGGTTATATTTGGATTTGATTTGTTTTGATATTTGCCTTGTTCTTATTTGCTCCTTCTAAACCAAAATATATTGCTTCACTACCTGATCCAGGGATTGATCTCACAACCACTGCTCGCATCTATGATGTCACTATCCCAAAGTACGTCATAAGTATGTATATGTTGTTGTCATCCAGGGATTGAGATCACAACGACGAGAAGACATAACAAAGCTATTATCCACTACGTTATCAGTTGACATTACTTTGGTCTTGGCTTAATATTTGAAGCAATCAAAGAATGGTCAGTGTCGTCATCGGCACTGTGGTGTTGCTGTGAATCACATCTGGTGATGACCAAGTTTTGTAGATGCCAAGGATTTGATTTTGGATTTCTCCAGGAAGTTTTTAACCCTTTCATTCGAAACAAGACGATAAAGCCACTAAGACGCAAGGGATTACCGAGGGTGAAAGAAAATGAGAAAACGTTATTGAGGAGAAAGGACAATAAAAGTACAGGGTTCAAGAACACAGATGCCAACTGACTTTGTATTTAAAATTTTAAAGATCGTAGTTGACAGTGAAGCAAGAAATTCGGAAGAGAGTACCAAATACAAGAAGTATTAGAGAAGAAACTATTAAAATAGAATTTACGGTTATATTTAACAATTTCAACAGTAAAATTATGAGACCTAACTGCCAATCTAGTACTGCACTAATGAAGTCGAGGTATCAAAGAGGAAAGCTCATCAGAACATTTGCCATGCCAATATTTATAGAAAAGGCCCAGGGAAACTACGTTAGTTAGTGGGAAAGAATTGAAGCCGAGATGACAGATCAGGACCGACAATATTGCCGATTCTTTTGATTTCAAGATTTTCGAGATACATAGTAGAAGCAACAAACCAGATGTGATATCAATGGTCAAAGCCGGAAAGAACGTTAGACCTATAAAGGTACAACACACACACCTTGTTTTGGAAGTAGGTACCTTCACAGACGGGGTTTGATAGTAGTAAGATTTTACTAGCTATAGAGGCTTTTGGTCACTGTCGTCCATGTTGCCGATGTTGGGCTGCCCTAACACAACTGGTCAGAGGTCTTAGTCTTCAACCATTCTTGTATTAAACCAACTATACTGTTTTACGGGGATTCTATTGACTACGTGATCTCGCTGTTCATACAATTTTTCTTTGACTTTGGATATAGCTTCTAAAGTTGGTGCGTAGATCCGTGTAATGTTTATATGGCCTTCCAATGTCGCGAAGCTTAAGGTGAGAATTTTCTCTGTGTCGCCCGTTGAAGGTTCAACCATGCGGAGTAGAGTGCTCTTGACGACTCCGTTTGACGATAAATCCACCTCTGTGCTCACTGTTTTCCACGACACTTTTCCTCTATTCCAAGAAGGTATAATGTCCCTCCTACAGGAATCGTTTGTCTGGCAGTTGTATTCCCTGCGAACTTGCAATGTCACTGTCAGATTTGTGCAGCTGTAGATTGACAAGTGTAAACTTGCAAATATCGTCTATTTCTCGACGATCGCTGAACAGTCCTATACGCAGATTTCGCACATTTCAATTTGCATTGCGAAAAGGTGGCCGCTCCAGTTTTTTCTCTTATTGTTTGTCCCTGTTGTGTGGTAAACGATCTTCTTGTTGAGCGCGAATCCAACTTCTAGTCACTAAAGCAAGCAGAGTCAAGTTGCTCGACACATTACTAGCCAGGGGCTACCCGGCTTGACGTAGGCGCCAGTTGACAAATGAGGTTTCATTACCCAACTACCACTGTCAAAGAAAACCGTCCTGGGTAAGACGATAAACTACATCCGACAAAAAGGCGTCTGATCAGGAGGTTTTGAAGAATGTGGAACCACCTCTTAACTGCTGGTGTTCCTAGGTTCACTCTGACCTGGGGTGGTAGCACCTGTCAGGGTCCCAGCTATGGGCAAATAGTTAACACCCTAAAAAGGGGTCAAAACACTATGAAAGTATAGAAATAGTTTTAATACCAGCAATATTTTTTGGAAATATTATTACCAGTAATACAGTTTTGGAAAAAAAATATTACCAGCTATACATTTTCGGAAAAAAAAAATGTTACTTTTTGGAAAAAGAAAATGTTACCAACAATACATTTTTGGAAAAAAAATATTACCAGCAATAAAAATCTTGTCGGCATTAAATAACACATTAACGTTGATATGCCGTAAAACAAACCAAACCAAACTAAAACGAAAACACGATGTGTTCGACTCTACGTGAGGACACATGGCACAGTGGATAAAGACTTTAGTTAGATCCAGTGACAGGACCCAAAGAGTGTGAGTTCAATACCCGGTTAAGGCAGTGGAGAACTTGGAGAGGGGAATTAACTTGAAATAACTGATAACTGACACCCATTAAACATGACCCGTGAAAGTAGAATAGTCTACCCCAGGGAGCGAAATGAAGGGTTCAGTTCGACATTCCAACCATCTGAAGAAGGCGGGAGCGTACAACGGCCGAAACGTTGTAATAAATATGGCGACAAAATGAGGACAATAGTCGAATAATGTAAATAGTGTACATAATACCTCATCTCAGAAATATAGACAGATACTGAAAGGCCGAAACGTTGTAATAAATATGACGACAAAATGAGGACAATAGTCCGAATAATGTAAATAGTGTACATAATACCTCATCTCAGAAATATAGACAGATACTGAAAGGCCGAAACGTTGTAATAAATATGGCGACAAAAATGGGGACAATAGTCCGAATAATGTAAATAATGTAATAATAATACCTCATCTCAGAAATATAGACAGATACTGAAAGGCCGAAACGTTGTAATAAATATGGCGACAAAAATGAGGACAATAGTCCGAATAATGTAAATAGTAGACCTCATCTCAGAAATATAGACAGATACTGAAAGGCCGAAACGTTGTAATAAATATGGCGACAAAAATGAGGGACAATAGTCCGAATAATGTAAATAATGTACATAATACCTCATCTCAGAAATATAGACAGATACTGAAAGGCCGAAACGTTGTAATAAATATGGCGACAAAAATGAGGACAATAGTCCGAATAATGTAAATAGTGTACATAATACCTCATCTCAGAAATATAGACAGATACTGTAATAAATATGGCGACAAAAATGAGGACAATAGTCCGAATAATGTAAATAGTGTAATAAATTTCATATAGACAATAAAAACGTTGAATAAATATGGCGACAAAAAATACAATAGTCCGAATAATGTAAATAGTGTACATAATACCTCATCTCAGAAATATAGACAGATACTGAAAGGCCGAAACGTTGTAATAAATATGGCGACAAAATGAGGACAATAGTCCGAATAATGTAAATAGTGTACATAATACCTCATCTCAGAAATATAGACAGATACTGAAAGGCCGAAACGTTGTAATAAATATGGCGACAAAAATGAGGACAATAGTCCGAATAATGTAAATAGTGTACATAATACCTCATCTCAGAAATATAGACAGGGACTGAAAGAAGCTGAGGTTTAAAGGTTAAAAGGATTTTCCTTTTCCCTTGATGAACTGCCTTCATAGGTTGATGAGCTTGTGGTTGTGAAGAAAAGAAAAAGAAACTGCCATCTTATAGTAGTAACAAACGTCTGCAATAGATTTCTTCTGTCTCTAGACCGCAACACTTGTAGCCAAACCACAGTTTAAACGATAGTCCGTCGTAACAGGCAACGTATATACGACAAAAAGGAGTCATATATCCAACCTTCACTTTCCACCAGGAAAAACGCGTGTTCGTCCACCAGGCTCAGAAAATCTAAATGCGCTTAAGCGAAAAACAACGGCTTTTGTTCACTGAGAGATCTTTCTGATTGGTCACGCCATTCAGGGGAGGGAAGAACATTAGCATAGATTTTAGTCCTTAAAGTAGATTTTTGCTAACTACTTTTTGGTAATTTTTCTTCGGCAGATCGCACACAAAACACGAACTCTTTTTTCGAGGTAGCTGATTATTTCTTTCACTACAGAGCTCTATCCGCCCAAAGCCTCTGGTTTTAATGCGTCTATGAGACAATAATAAATTGAAGAATAAAATATTTGATTCAGATAACCTATATTATCTATTTATGTAGAAGTTGCATTGTTTTGTATCGCAATTTGTTTAGCAATTAAATTTATTTGGGTCAAGAAATATAATTCGAGAAATAAAGGTCATTAAACCTTGTAGAAAAAAGTCAGGATTGTAGACAGAAACATTGGGAAATAAAACAACTGAAAGAATCAATGATTATAATAGGATTTAATAACCTCCTCAGTAGACGTAACACAGAAATGAACGCCATATGCGATCCTTTATGTGAGAACAGGTATTAGGCTTAAATCTGAAAGAACTACCTCTTAATTATGTCTACTGGCCTAGAGATTGAAAGTCTTATTTAAGAAAATTTTTATCACAACAAAAATTCCTTTTGCGAGGCACCAGGCACACAAAGCACTTCTTCATAATGTTTGTTATCTTCAGACTAATGGAACTGATGAATTTCTGTTCATTAACAATACAAGGGAAAGAGAATTTCTTTTTCCAATAAATAAGTGACGTTTTCGATTTTTTAGAAGTTGTGATCTACTTTCAAGTGGATATCAGCTATTATTATTATTATTATTATTATTATTATTATTATTATTATTTCCTTTGATTTCTGGCGTTTACACATTTCTTTCCGGGTCCCGTCCAGGGACCTAAGGTTAGCAATGACATCATGACACTTTCCACTGCAAAAAAAAAAAAAAAAAAAAAATACATAGATAAAGCCCTTCGTAAACAATTTTTTTGTATCTCTTTGAGGCATGGACTTCCAGGAATCCCTTCAATTCGTCTACTGGAATCTTTTCCAACCAATCCTAGCGCTCCAACTACAACGGGGATTGTTGATGTTTCCATGTGCCACATTTTTGAGATTTCGACTTCAAGGTCCTTATTATTATTATTATTATTATTATTATTATTATTATTATAGGCTTATTGGATGTTATTAACTGGTTTTGCACTCAATGGATATCAAGCTACACCCGGCAGCCTTAGGTATCCAGTACTTTTCTGAGTGTTCGTGCTGTGCCAAGTAAACAAGCCATCTCACGGCTAATTCTAACGCCCTGATTACAATACGAACAATCTCTACGTTTTTACTACTAATATTATTATTATTATTGTTATTATCATCATCATTATTGACAACATTATCATTATTTTTTCATCATTATTATTATCATCATCATTATTATTACCAACATTATTATTATGACTATTATCATTATTTTTTATCATTATTATTATCATCATCAGTATTATTATTATTGACACTATCATCATTATTATCATCATCTTTATTATTATTATTATTATTATTATTATTATATGGTTTCTGCTGTATACACGTTTCCTTCCAGGTCCCAAACAGAGACCTAAGGTCAACAATGGCTTCATGATATTTTCCACTTATCATTTTTTTTTTTACTGCAGGCATTATAGATAAGAAAAGCAAGATTTTTGCCCCCTTTATATCATCTGTAGGGTGTTTTTTTTTGTTCGTTAACAACTTGTAATTAACTTGTGATCTACTTTTCAAGTGGACATTATTATTATTATTATTATTATTATTATTATTATTATTATCGGCTTATTGGATGTTATTAACTGGCTTTGCACTCAATGGATATCAAGCTACATTCGGCAGCTTTAGGTTTCCAGTACTTTTCTCCAATTATACCTGGGGATGGGAAGAGCTCTAATACCCACTTTGCCAAGTAAAGTTATTCGGTATTGCCAATTTATTTTGGAAATTTCTATCTTCGAAGTATTCACAGCTTTGCCTTAACTATTTAGGGAAAGTTAGATAAAAACCTACAGACGTTAATCGCTTTTCTCGTTACTATTTATAGCAAAGTTGATTATCACCGGGACTGGGCAAAAAGAATTATCTTTTAATCTTTCTTATTTTTAGAACATAATCCCAGATAGCTCTAATTACAGACACATAAAATACTTTATAACTTTATATATTGAACACATGTACACATCAAGTGCTCCAGACCAGCTGCAATCTTCAGCTGAGCGCCGTGCTTCAGCAAAGTTTCGGCCCATTAACCTCAGTACCTCTACCCACGATGGGCCCGCAACAGATGGATGATGTTACATTGCAACCGGTCTATGTTGTTAGTTGGACGCGGCTCAATACAAATTTCTGGGTAATCCATGCCCTGCCTACCACCATTTTATGTCTTTATCACCTTATTCGGCTTTTAAATAACAGCACACCTGAGGAATCTCTTTAAGGAAGCAGCAGCAAATCCTCTACAGCCAACTTTAAACGGCACCATATATATATATATATATATATATATATATATATATATATATATATATATATATATATATATATATGCGTGTGTGTGTGTAACAAAAACAAATGGGCGGAATGATA